TTTGACACAACATTGTAAAATGACAATAACTTAATAAAAAAGTTAAAAAAAATAATAATACAGTCATGACTTGTGCCAAAGTCACTTTAATTTCTTAAAAATTAAAAATAACTATGGTATGCTTTTAAAACCTTGACAAATGTGATAGCAAAAGAAAAAGTCTCTGAAATGTGACACTGATTTCATAATGAAAGTCATTATACCAAGAAGTTTGTGTCCACTACTCTGAAACATAATTTAGTTCAACATGCAAAAAGATGCATTTTGGTGGGCTCAATGGACTGACTCCCATCAGCCATTTCACCAACTGGAAAGGTAACACACTGAAAACTCTGGTCACACTTCCTAGCTCATAAAAGTGTGCCAGACTTCCAGTATCTCCCCTTCTCAGCCAGGCTGGTCCCCACCCCTCAGTCTCTTCCCTGCACGTTGCTAAAGGTCTGGGCTCGCCTCAATTTCCGTGTTTGAGCAATAAAATGAAAACGATAAAAAAAAAAAAGTGCCAGAACCAGGTAGAACCTTTTTAGTGTTTACAAATAACCACGCATTGTGGAAGCACTTGAGAGGTCTTCTAGACCCAGTCCCCGCAATGGGACCATCAGCCTAAAGCCCAAAGAAGTCAACGCTGATGAGAAAGCTTTCAACCTTTCTCTATTCACCAACAGGCCCATATGGTGAGACGATGGAGGAGAGATTAAATGCAGTCCTCACTGACAGTTAGATAACAGAAAAACAAGATAATTTTAAATAATGTTAAGTGCGATGAAGAAAATAAATTCGCGTAATATAAGTGAGAGCTACTAAACGGCCAGGGAAGGCCACTTTGAGGAAAATGCCAGCTGCAGGATGACAAGGAGCCAGCTCTGGAAGGATGTGGGGGAATAGCATCCCAGGAGAAGGCAGCACAGGGGGAAAGGCCCTCGGCACCGTGGGGCTGGGAGCGCTCCAGATGCAGCCGGACAGACCCACGGGAGGGCAGCTTCGGGTGAGGAGAAGGACAGAGCCCGGGAACCCACGACAGAATTTTAACCCAGGAAATGACATGATTTTGACATTATCAAAACATCCCTTTTATAATACGTGGAACTGTATTGAAGAGGAGTGAGCACGTTAGCAAAGAGTCTACTTTGGAAGCCACTGGAGTGTTGGGTGAGCAATGACGTGGCTGAATGGAGCAAACAGCCTGCGAGGGAGAGCCTGGCGGAATTTCACTCTTGTTTTAGAGGTAGAACGGACAGAATTTACTTGCTGACTTTAGATCCTATCTCCCTAGTGAGATGCAACTCACTCTCCTCTATCTAGCAGTTACTGGGCATTTACTGTATATTAAATAAAGTGTTAAAATACTTCATTCAAGCTTCAAAACAGCCCTAAGAAGTGGGTACTTAATTCCCATGACTTACAGGTGGAAAGAGGCAGCTCAGGAAACCAGCCCAAAGCAGGAGGCGGAATCCGAGCCCAGGCCTGACTGCCTCCCCTCCCCACCCGGTGCTGTGACCACCGGCCCCACTTCTCCCAGGTGGGACTCGCCCACTTTGCAGCTGCAGCGCTCTTCATTCTGATGACAACTTGGAAGACAATGTGGCACTTAGAGAACAGTGCTTCTTCTGCCCTTTGGCTGCTCTGCTTCCTCTGTTAGGTAGTTAGATAAGTGGGGACACCAGGCAGATAGGTGGAGGAGAGGGAGGATGGTCTGGAAGACGGCATTATGCCTACCTCCAGCATAAAGGGGCTTTACTTCCTCTAAGCGAGCGCCAGCAAGAAACCGGTTAGAACCTGCGATCCGCAACTTTGCGGTAGCGAGACGTAACTGGACATGACCCAGTGCTCACGGTAACATAATTAGCATCATGGCTTTGGCTCCCTCTCCACCACGGGTTTTTCTGTGTGCACCATGTGTAAGGACATGTGCAAAGAGAACAAACATGACTGGACATTCCAAGGGCAAGAGCCATCAATCAATCAAAGACCACCTCTAAGTGAAGGTATAAGAGAAAGGGCAGACAAAGACAGCAGCTTTTCCTCCCTTGGAGCAGCCCGCCTCCCGTTGCTGCAGGTGTACTCTCCCTTTGCTAATAAATCCTTTAAATGCTTTTGCAACCCAGTGCTCTCCGTTTCCCATCTGTATCCTTATCCTTCAGGCATGACAAGAACAGGGGTCTTTCCCGTTCTGCTTTTAGGGGAACATAGCAACCAGCAAATACAAGGAAATCTCCCAAGCAAGAGAGGATCTGCTTTGAAAACCTGGAGTCTGACACCTCCCTGGCCCAGACAGGCTTGAGGGACCAGTGCTCCTTTTGGAAAAAAAGCTAAGATAGTGAGGATTTGGACTGTTCATTCTGGGGGGCATCTGCTGACCCAGAGTAAAGTGTCTAGGAGAGAAACTCAAATTATTTTTAAGAAATGGGCTTAAATGGTTTAAGCTATATAACAGATTCTGTCTCTTTAAAGCATTACTATTTGATTAGCTGACATTCCAGTCGATAAAGCATATAAAATATGCAATTAGTGGCATTTTCTCAAGTGTTTTACTTTATTTTATTAAACTATCCCAAGAGTGTATGTCAAGCACCAGTCTCGTTCCTACGTACTTTCTACCTAAAACCAGCCGAACTAAATTTCACATACAAGTTGGAATCTTAAAAAGGTGTAGAGTTTAAATTAAGAAAATATTTTTAACTCATCTCCTTAAATATAACCAGTATGGCAATGTGCAAAGACTTCACCTGATTTCAGCATGGCACACACTATACCAAACAGAGTCCCTGTTATCACTGCTCAAATTTAACTGAAGTTGGAAAAAGCAGCTCTTGTATTTATCTATTTAGAGTACTGACTGATTCACTTTAATAATTAGTAGATTTTACCAAGTGTACACTGTACAGAGACTTCCTTGAGAGAAAAGGCCAGACTTCCTCTGTCCCCTCAGCACTGGAACTGACTCCAGCCCTAAGAGATACTCCATAACTGTGGAATGAATCAGTGGACATTCATTCCCTTGGATTTTAAGTGGCTTTAATTTTCAGGTCCCTTATGAAAATGCACATCCCTTAATGAACTGAACGAACTGAACTCCTCAAAGAACATCTTGGCGACAATTACTGAGCACTGAGCTGAGGGGCGATGGTGACAGCTTCCCACTGCTTGAATCTCTGGCACATTCAACCCCATCTAGTCCCACAATCACAGAGACAAAAATCTGTCCATTTTGAAACATGGCCTAGAGTCAATTCTGGCTGGAAAAAACAAAACAAATTTATTTTTACAAATAAAAGTATGTTTCCAAAATGCTTACTTACCTTGCCTCATAAATGAAAGGGCTTTTTCTCTTAAATTCTCTGTCAGTTGTTTCTTCTTAGTCAGGTAATCCAAAACATAAATATTTGGAGCAAAATTTATCATGTTCTGTTCACCACAGCCATAAGGCATCCGAATTAGTGAGGCTAAGCCATTGATGGAAGAACCAAGAATATCTCCTGAAAGCACAAGATATTTAATATGTTCAGCAAATCCTCAAATAACTGTACCTACTCGTGGCAAAGAGACTCCCTGTGAGAGCAGAAGGCACCGGACCCAGAAGCAGTATTGTTATTCCACTGCCTGGAGCAGAGTAGAAACTGCGCAGCAAGCTTTTAGGAAAACTGGCCAAATGAGTGATGATACAGTGGTACTGAACTTGCAGGTTGTGTGACAAATTAGGAGACTTTCAGCTCAAAGACATGGCATATCTAAGCAAAAAGGAACTTTAAAAACATTCTTGGACAAAAATGTCAGAAATCAATCATCAGGAAACCATCATTCTTATATAGGAAAAAAGGTTTTATTATTAGGATTCTTCACAGAAATAGAATTTTATTCTGATTTCCTTACTGATACACTACAAGTTCTTGAGAAATTACGTTTCTAAGGGCAGGGGTTGTGGTATGTTTCAATGTGCTCTATTCAGAAACAACAAAGTAGAACTAACAAGTGTTTCAGGCATTTCAGAGAATCTCAGGATGAAAACGGATTAGAAATAGCCTTCAAAGTTAGTTATATACAGTTATACAAAACACACACTTTACCCACATTCTAACACCATAACTCAGGAAAATACATAAAATTTTACACATATAGAGGCTGAGTTCTAATTCTGACCCCACTATGGTTGAACTGTATAGAATATCTGTCATGTCTTATTTTAGAAATTTATACCCTTCCAAGTCCAGATACCTAGTGAAAAGCTACTTCTAAAGAAAACTGAATCCACAAAAGAGAGGAAGAGCTTCACGTGAGTAGGCTGCAGCCATGTGAGCGTATGATGTCTTAAACTTTAGATGCTAGCGCAGTGAGGTCCACACCGCTGCAGGCTATGCTTTTAACTATTATTACCACTGCAGGTTATGTTTTTAATATTCAAAGTGAACACAGACTCTCAAAAATTCAAAGAGGCAACAAGCTAAGATTCACACATCTGGAGTACCAAGTAGGTTTTCAAAAAATAAATTACCATATTTAAAATCCATTACTGAAATCAGGCTTTACAATGAAACCTCACAGCACTTCAATAACCAGAGGCGGACTCATTCCAATGTGAAGAGTGGTGGTGTCATTTACAATTCCAGGCTTCTTTCCGTCCTGTGTATGTGTATGTATGCATGTGTTATGTGTGTATTTGTGTATGTATGTTATGTGTGGGGGGGTAGGTATCTGTGTGTGTGTGTGTGTGTGTGCACCTCAACCACCCATGTGTCTGCTCTATCACTCAGCAGCTTATCACTGTGGGAGGTGCTTAGGCATCTCTGAGCATCCCTGAGTAGTGAGGTTATTTAATTCTTTTTAAAAATTTTATCTAAGGCTCCCCAAAAAGTCCTCTCTAGAGGGACTGGTTGTTGTGGGTTATAATGAAAAGCATTACACCTGCAAATGAGATTTAAAAGAACATCTGAAAATGTGCCCCTGGTCCTGACACCTCAAAGACCTAACAAACTATTTAGACGGCTTTAATCTACACACGGCCTTCAGGGATGTGTACAGCACAACTCTATAAATAAACCACTTACGTGGAAGCTCTGTTGGACAGCTGAAAGGACTTTTAGGTTGGTTATCAAAAGGTAACTAGGAGAGGGTGACCCAGCCAGTGGGCAGCTCCTGCCATGAAGGTTACTTGTGTTCTGCACAGAGAACTGCTCAGGCAGCAGTGCTCAGCATTTGGTGATCAGAAGCACTCATGGAAACTTTTCAAAATATGCAAGCCCAGCCACAGCCCCAGAGACTCTGACTGAGCAGAGTGACAACAGAATCCAGAGCTTCATGTGTTTGCAAAGCCCCACAGACGGTGCTGGCATTCACCAGTAGTCAAGAAGCTCTGCCCTTAGAATAACCCCTCCCTCCAGCCTCAGGCTAGTCTGGCCTGGCTGCTCAAAGAGTGGTTTGTACGCCAGAAGTATCTGCAGCACCTGGGAGCTTGTGAGACATGCATAATCTGAGGCCCCACCCCAGGCCTCCTAACCCAGACTCTGCCTTCACACAAGCTCCCCAGGCGCTCCACACGCACAGACGACTGACAAGAACTGGTCCAGGACACACATCTTGCAGCCTTTCTACTATCATCAGCAGTGGGTACCAACTAAAACCTTTCTGCAACTTCTTCTCATTAGGACTAAGTAAGAAAATATACCTATGTATCAATGAAAAAATATAATTATTATATACAAATAAATCAGTAATGATGGTGATACACTGTATTCTTACCAATCGCAGTGATCTGAACTCTTTCACTACCGCTCACTGTATGAGGAGGGAAGGAGAAACCCAGGGTTTTCAGGGTAGTCTGTCGCCTGCTGTCCGCCAAGTCTAATAAGATGGATTGTGAATAGGATTTTTCTATCCCTTCAGCCTGTTGAGAAAAGGAACACAATTAACACGGTCTCCACTCATCTGTTTACAGAGAACTCTATGCAGATAGTAAGTCTGGCCTGTGAGTGGTTAGATAAGTACCCACCATGTCTTGATTCTTGCTTCAAATCTGTTGATAAATATTAACATTCTAGTTAAATTCAACAAAACATTTCAAGGAATGGCAATAGAAATGACAAAGGAGAAGCTGAAAAGGTGATGAGAAATCCTCTGAGGTGGGTCCTATTATTATCCAAAGAGGCAGGTGAAATACCTTGTCCAAAGGCACCCTTGACAGAGCAGGCATGCGAACCCAGGGCTGTCTCACTCCAGAACACAAGTGCTTATCCCCTATTCCAAGCCCTCTGTTTGCATACTCTCTTCTCTGAAAAACATCTACAAAATCTCTTCTACCCGTACTGAGGAATCCCAAAATTCAAAATCTACATGCCAACTTGGCATGACTTAAGAGGATCCCAACATCACACAGACTGTGAATACAGCCGACTTGCTTTCTAGTCACCTTATAAATTTAAAGGAGACATTGGCAATTACTTCTAAAACATACATGGGATATAGTTTTCCATTCAGATGGAAAACCGCCAGGCATTGCCAGGAGGGTGAGGAGGATCTACTAGGTCTTGCCAAAAGATTTAACCAAGAGAAAAACCACCTTCTCTTTCCTTTTCAATTATGAATTTCCATTCCATTTATTTAGACTTCAAATCCTTACCTTCACTAAAAGCCTTTGGGTGACGGCATCAGAAGCAGCAGGTGAGACAGCCGTGACCGTGACAGGAATTTCTCCCAGATGTGTTGGCCTAACTGGAAAAAGAACAGTCACTCCATCCTCACTGGGAACCTGGATGGTCTGCTGGTGTCCTGTGGCATTGATTTCATTTGAAGCCATCAGAATATCAAAATCATCACTTTTCTCAATGATCACCTTAACCTGCAAGAAAAAATCATCAAAAGTTTTGCATAATAAATGTTTCTCAGGAAAATATTGTTTAAAGTGGGGTTCAATCTGTGAGGTCCAAGCTTAGAGAAAGATGAGACAGAAAGGTTCAGCCGAGGAGAGGGTGAAAGGTTATCAGAAAAAAACCTCATTTCTTTCCTATGCTTTTCCAAAACTCTACCTTAAGCCACGTGGGGAAAGGGCATTCCTCAGTTCCATTTTAACGTTTAACTCCCATGAACATTAAATTTTCTCATTTTCCAAAGCCTGTGAGTGGTAAGGGTGTGCCCAGAAAGGTTATTTCATGTCATGGTACTGCCACCAGCCTGGCTCAACTGTGTCATCCTGGGACACTGGTCCCATTAGAAAAACGTGACTCCAACAGAATGAAATATTATTACCCTCGTTGAAAGTCTCTGCTAAAATTATTTCAAGAAAAGTCTGACTCAGACATTAGTCCTGAAAGCGTATGTTGGTTGTAAATTTTTGTAAAGTGTGTCAAAGTTGCCAAGCTCATGAAAAATAGCATTTCTCTGGGTCTAAGATTTTATTAATTGTTTTCCCATTTATTTCTCATCTGTTACTCAAAAGAGGGCCTGTAGGAATATCGAAGTGTAAAACTGCAATTAAGTTATCTGCTTGTAAGTGGAGGAGCTGGACGCTGACTCCAGATCCTTTGCTCTTTACACTATAACATGTTGAGAAGATTAAGAAGTAAAATTAGAAAATAGGAAGCAATTTACCCTGCAGACATAGTACTTACAGAGATTATGGTACTATCAGGTTATCACGTTAATGACACATCCCTACCTGCTCTGGGGGAAGAATCATTTTGCTAACACTATTGTTATTTGGCACAACACAGAGAGCCTGATCCTGCCTTCCAGGGAACTGAGTGGCTAAGGAGACACCAGATCCATGACTCAAAACACAAAACCTGCAAAGGGGAACGCACCGTACAAACATGGGGACAACAACCATAACTGAACGGGTGATTTCGAGACCTTAGTTTCAAACCAGGTCTCAAAAGGAATAAATTTTTGCCAATCACAGTGGGCACAGAATGGCGGTGAGAAGCGGCAACACGCTCTCAATGTGCGAAAAGACGAGGGAAAGACTGCGGGGAGGCAGGAAAGAAAAAGATGTGCCACAGAAACAACAAGGAAGTGGTGTGGCTAAAGCAGAGAAAATGTGCAGGAAACTAAGGTGAGGACACTCAGATGGGATGATGACGTCCTTCGACATGAACAAGAAATTGTCGGCAAAGTACAGCTGTTTTCAATCTCCCAAAAATGGATAAAGTGCTCAGATGCCCAAACACACATAACTCAACCCCTGTGGGGTTTCTTCATTGTTTTCTGAAATGGAAATGATGAAGAAAACCTTTAATGTATTACCTCAGTGGTGTCTTTCAAATAATTGAATATGGTTACTTCCAAAGCAAATTCTTCACCTCTGATGACAGAGTAGGGAATATTCAAAAAGATGAAAAACGGCTGGAAGGCTTGTAGCTGGAAAGAACACAATACATACATATTTTATTCAAGTCCAAGTGCTTCCTATTTTACACAATTAAGATCAAATCTCACAAAACCTGTGAGGCTTATGACTTCACGTAGAAATGTCCACTTGTCTACCAACAGAAAGCAAACAGCAGCTTATCTCAAGTGAGTAGGGATAAACTGGTTTGACTTATGTTATTTAACCAGAAATCACTGTATCTTATTAAGCTGCCTGCTAGGGACCAGGGACTTTACACAGATTTTCTCATTTAGTCATTACACCTATGGAAGCAGGTGTTATGCTTAAATTTTACAGAAATCTGAAGTTCAGATACCTCTGGAACTCGTACAAGGTTATGCTGCTGGCAAGAGGGGGAGCCAGAATGGGACCCCAAAACGTCTGAGGCTGAAGCCCAGCTCCTCCTCCACCACGCAGTGCTGATGCCACCAATCTGCTTGTCAAGCCTTGGCCACACCAAACAGCACTTGGCTGAGACTCATGTGGGACAGCTCAATGATGTTTTGCCTGCCGCCCTGCAGCTTACACAGACACGTGCTTCCTTGCTGGTCACCCAGACCGGTGCTGGTGTTGGGTGACAGTGTTCGCCAGGTCCTGCAGGGAAATCTGAAGCCCTCCTCTGCCTCTGAGGGTAAACCTGGATTTGTGCAGGCCAATGGTTCTCACCGGCAGTGGAATTTCCCTCTTGGAGGTGTATCTGGACATTTGTGGGAGTGTTGTAGATTGTCACAGTAGGATACTGTTGGTGCTTTGTGGCTGAGGATCTGCATGCTCAGGACAGTTCCAGATAATGAAGAACCGTCCCGTGTTCCTCATGATTCTTTTTTTTAATTGAAGGACAGTCAGTTGACAATGTTGTGTCAATTTCTGGTGTACAGCATGATAGTTCAGTCATACATACACATATGTACATTCGTTTTCATATTCTTTTTCATTATAGGTGACTACAAGATATTGAATATAGTTTCCTATGCTGTACAGTATAAACTTGTTGTTTATCTATTTTACATATAGTAGTTAGTATCTGCAAACCTCGAACTCCCAATTTATCCCTCCCCACTCCCTTTCCCCCGGTAACCATAAGTTTGTTTTCTAAGTCTGTGAATCCCTTTCTATTTTGTAAATAAGTTCATTTGTCTTTATCTCAGATTCCACTTATAAGTGATATTATATGGTATTTTCCTTTCTCTTTCTGGCTTACTTCACTTAGAATGACAGTCTCCAGGTCCATCCATGTTGCTGCAACAAGCATCATTTTATTCTTTTTATGGCTGAGTAGTATTCCATTGTAGAAATATACCACAAATTCTTTACCCAGTCATCTGTTGATGGAAATTTAGGTTGTTTCCATGTCTTAGCTACTGTAAATCATGCTGCTATGAACACTGGGGTGCATTTATCTTTTTGAACTAAAGTCCCCTCTGGACATATGCCCACACTGTCCCTCATGATTCTTGAATGTCCGTTCTGTCATTCATGTTAAATACCTGCTTAGAATGACCAGGGCTTATAACCTAATTCCAATTTATATATAAACCCAAAGCATTTCTCAGTACACACTGAATTTTTCATGAATAGAACTATTTTCTAAATTGAGAGAAGTCTACACTTTGTTTTGTTTGTAACTTACCAAAAGTTGTTCACAGTTTCAAATTTTACATCACCACAGGCAGCACCACTCAAGGTGTTTGAGTTGCTAAAACAGTATGTGTATATTGAACTGCATTTGCAGCTGTTACACACAAGGTGATTCTATGCATGGAGTAAATATTTAAATATTACTATGCCTTCTAGTGAAACTATGCCTGGTCATTTACATACTGAAATGTGATTGTTTTATTATACATTCCTTTTAGTTTTCCTTAGTATTTTACTTAGGGCATTTGATTTTTTTTTACATTGAGTATGTAAATATATTGTATTTTCTATATTTTTTTTACATTCAGTATATAGGTATATTGTATACTCTGACCATATAGGTATATTGTATTGTATTTCATTTTGGATGGTAGAGGGGCAAAACTAAATATCTGTTACAAAAAGCCAGATTCAGGTATAACAGAGGTGAAAGCTATTGGTCTAAGACCAATCATGGTCATTACTTTCCTCTTGTCAGTAACCAGTTTAGGAAGAAACATGGGATGGAATTTGACCAAAGAGATGTGAAGGTATGTTTGCAAGGGGACATTTTAAGAAGTTCAGCTCATCCTTAATGAAGGACATGGAAATATTCTCTATCTTCTGGCCTTTGGAAGTGGCTGGACTCAGTTAATAATAAACTTTCTATCCAAATCCTAATACAGAGCTAGCACATTTAGCAGTTTAATACAGCTCAAATTCTAAAAGGTAAAACAGATGAAAAACAAAAAGAAAATGCCAAGGCATCTCTAAATTGTGATCAACATCATAAGCAATGACTTTTTTTAAATCCATTGAGGAGTAGACACTTGTCTCGCTTCGCGGCACTGTAACATTTAAAAGCAGCCCTTCAATAGACTACCTCCACTGGAGCAGTTGTCAGTCCGAGACCTAAATCCTCAGAGATCACAAACGCAGTTGCAACCCAAGAAGTGATCGAATCAGGTACAGTAACTTCAAATTCTTGATAAATCCTGGAACTGGAGTCAAGATAAACATAAAAACCACAAAATCAAGAACTGACACATTTCAAAATAAGTCAACATAACCTAAGTCAATTTTTGGAAGAATTTTAGTTTTCCAAATCATTTACATTTCTGAACTTTTTAAAGATTAAATATAAAACAGTGGATCCCAGGTTCTCAAGGAACAGGTTATAACACTGCATACTGATCCATATTCCAATAAAATCTCTCTATAATGTTTATATCTTCAGAATAAATACCATTTCATAAATTTTGCATAGATAACAAATAAAATTTTCCAAATTTAACTCCAATGTGTTTCTCTCAATAAGCATTGCATTTTCCCTCTGTATCCCAGTCAGTGCTATTATTTGGTTTTTGACTTGTGTCTTCTTTCTAGTTTCCATAAGTGGCTGACTATAAACAGAATGTGTAGCGTTCATGACGTACCAGCTTACATATCACACCAGGCAGCACAGGGTTTGTCGGCTAAGCTGAATTCCTTCCAGCGTCCACACCCCTTCTCCCTGTGGCTCACGGGGATGTTTTATGAGGAGCCACAAGGCAGAGGAAGTAATCATGAGTGCTTCCCACCCGAAAGCAATAAAGGAACTTTTAGTAACCTCTCCCCACTGAGGACCATGAGACTTCAGGGAAGCTAAAATCACCCTTCATTAGGAAAAGGCCTATCTTTCCCTTGCTAATACTCTCATTGCTACAATTTCCATGTAGCTTTATTAAATGCTATATTTAGATACAACAGACATCATTTAAAAAAAACCAAAAACCTCTTGGTCTACTTAGATCTTAATCATCCCATGTTTGTTCTTAAATATTAGAAAGAGGGCAATACTTCCTTAAAACTAAGATCAAACAAAATATATATGGGCAAAGAGCTCTATAAATGTTTACCCCATGTTGGTGTCTAGCCAAATCCAAGTCTCCGGAAAATGCTTTCTGACACGTGGACTGCTACCTGAGGAAGAGTCATGAAAATCGACCAAGTATCCTTCCTGTTTCTCCAAAAACTGGACCGGATCGATACCATCATCTAAAAATAAACATTGACAAGTGTCAGGAAAAAGTCCAAGGGGAGAATGATCGTAAGTTCAGTCAGCAGAATCACAGCACGTCTCAGCTGACGGGGCCTTTAGAGTTTGTCTCGTCCAGTCCTCTCGTTTCACTCACTTTACAGACCCAGAGAAGTCATGTGATTTATCCTGGGCCATGTGGCCACTTATGGCAGAGTCAGAGCCAAAAATAAAAATAAAAACTGCTCGATGCCCCTACATCCAATACCCAAAAAATGACCTACAGTTCAGTTGCTAAATAATAAGTGAAATCTCATTTTTAAAGCTGCCTCCAATTTTTCTATTCTCCTCCTTCTAGATTCTTCATGCTGATCACCTTTGGCTACACCAGCCATAAGTTGCTCCAGTCATCCAGTTTATTAGTTTCTTTCTTATTAAAAAAAAAAGCATATTGACCTACAGACACTGGATCACCTATTTCTAGTCTTTCAACTTTTCTCTGATTCTAAAATTATTTCCAAATAAAGTTTAAAAAATTATACTGTAGAAGGTACCAAAGATATAAAGATGAATGCACTGTGCTCCACCCAGTATCCATGGAGAGACAGACAAATGCATTATACTAGTGCTAACACACAGGCTAAATGTCTACCATGAAGAAAACTGCTAATTTTATGCAGAATCTGAATGATGCAAAGAGCACGGCTAGAAGAAAAATTCATTTTGCATTGTTTTTTGCGTTCCATTTTCCTTACAGCTCCAGATAAAGAGTATCCCATACAAGAGGGAAAAAAGTAAGCTAAGTGCAAAGGCATGTCCAGGTAAGAGTGACATAAAATGAGGAGATTAAGAATGGTGGGTCCAGATTTTAAAATATCAAATATCCCATGCTGAAGGATCTGGACTTGATCCTTTAAGCAGTGATGACCTATTGAAGGTTTTAAAATAAATTAGATGTGTGATCTAACCCATGTTCTGTAATGATAGCTCTGGCTCAGTGCAAACAGTGAGTTAAAGCTGGGGGAAATGGAGGCAGGAGTAGTCAGGAGGGTGCTGCAGGGTCCAAGGAGACGCGCTGATAAGGGGCTGAAGCCAAGCAGAGGAGAGGAAGGATGGTATTGAGAGACAACACTGCTCTGTCACTTGGTTGGATGACCTCTGTGTGGGCCCACGGCACACTGTACTTCCACACACTCTTCTAATTGTGTTAGTTTGCCCCACTAGACCAAGCTGGAATCCTCACTGCCTTCTAAATGTCAGGCACGCAATTAAAATCATCACCTACTGAATAATGAATGAACAAACTGGATCTGAGGGATAAAATAACAGGTAACTGCAGGCTTTTAAGTGTCCAACATGCTGGGCATTTTACACACTTTTGGATTTAACCTCATAACAACCGTGTAACACACATTAGTATTATTAATCCTACACTTCAGGGGGAACACCTGAGGTTTAGAGAGCTTAATGGATTTTCTCAGGGTCATAAAACCAGAATTCAAAGCCAGAAGTATTTAATAGCAAATTCCTTTTCTAATATGTTTTCCTTCCAGTTTTATTGAGATACAGTTGACATACAGCCCTGTGTAAGTTCAAGGTGTACAGCATAGTGATTTGATTTACATCATGAAATGATGACCACAGTAAGCGTAGTGAGATTCCATCATCTCGTATAGATACATAATGAAAGAAAAAGAAAGAAATACATTTTTCCTTGTAATGAGACCTCTGAGGATTTATTCTCTTAACAAATTTCATATATAACATATATGATTATATCCAGCAGGTTGCACATTACATCCCTAGTACCTATTTGCCTCATGACTAGAAGTTTGACATTTTGACCACTTTCATCCAATTCTCTCTCCCCCTACCCCCACATCCCACCTCTGGTAACAACAAATCTGATCCCTTTTTCCATTAGTTTGTTCATTTGTTTTTGAAGTACAATCAGCAAATTTTTTTCTTAGCCACTATGCTGCTTCACATTTGACAGAGAGAGAGAGAGGAAAGGATTAAGGATGAATTCTGGGTTTCTGATTTGGACATCTGGGTAGATGGTTTCACTAACAGAGATATGAAATCACATCAACTCCAGGGTTCCTATGTCCTGTCCATCAAATCCTATTAGGGGAGAGTAAGGCTTTAAGGAGAAAGAAGATCCTATACTTGGTTTGTGATATATCAAATTTAAGGTATTTGCGGGGCATGAGGGTGCAGACACAGGGGTAAGATAAAGAGTCGAGATGGTCCATCTTGGGTTTCATGGGGAAGATGTCATAGAAGCACAAGGGACTAGGGAAGAATTCTACCAGCTTCACTGACCATGTGCTTCAGGTACTGGAGGAAAATAGGGGCAGAAGGAGCCAGTGACCCAGAATAACCAGATGGCAAGACCAAAGAGGACATCTGCTCTTTAGTAAGACCAAAGAAACATTTAATAGACTTGAAGGAGTGATGGCGTAAACAAGGTGGGAGGGCAGGCATTTGAGACGTCAGCGGTAGAGTAGTGCTCAGGTGATGTGACCCTGGGTGGCCAGTGTTGCCACAGTAGTGATCACAGGACAGTGCACATTAGATGGACCAACCACATGGACATTCAAATCCCCCAGGACGACAAGAGTTAAACTTTGAATCTTTTGTGAGAGTCATCGATGTAAGAAGAGGAAAACAGAGAGTGGGTGACCTGAATGTTGATCAAAGGATTTGTAATCGAAATGTTTGAGAGTCAAGTGATAAGGGCCTCTTCACTGGGGGTTGTTGGATAACGGTCTTGAAGTCACCAAGAAAATACTGAACCCTATTTACCTACTGACCCTAAACCAGCAGACAGGCAGAAACATTCATGTCAGTGACTTTCTAGAAGGTTTCTAGGAACATGACACAGAATAGTATCAGGCTTCTGCTACAGTGGAAGGTAGAAGAAGGTTCTCAGAAAAGGTAAAGGATACAAAAATATTACTACGAATACAGTGAGTATTGCTGTGGGCATCAGGGTTCGGGAAGTAAACACGAACCAAGGTGAGTAAAGGCTCAACCTGACAGAGAGAGAATGGAAAAGCCCGTGGGAAGGCTGTCTAGGAGAGACGATTACACAAGGACAGCTAAATGGGCCACACATCTTTTAACACATGCATCACTTCACAGAGTCTTTATAAAATTGTTCTTTTTGTTTCCGGACAGACACTCAGCTGTCCGGTGGTGGCAAGAACCAACCTAAAGCTGGAGAGCCTGGGGCTCAGTGTGAAGTAACTGGGAACATCTGACAGAATCAGGGAATTCATGGATAGAAACTAGGAGAGTTGTAGAGTCTTTCAAGATGATACTCATATAATTTTACCTAAAAGAAAAGAGAACAACTTCTAGAATTAACCATTCTCATTGATATATTTCCTTCAGTCAAAACATTGCATGACTTCTTCCTAAAAGCACTCTCACTATTGTTAGCTGGGTGGTCATCTCCACTTACCAATCCAGGGAACCAGGATGTACAAATGTGACCCCACCCAGGAAGAACTCGGTGTGTGTTGTCTAATTCCAAAGTAACAGCACAGTTTGCAATACAAATTGGAGGCAAAGGATCTTCCAATAGTTCCAAAAATAAAACCACGTCAAGAAATAACAGAGAGCACATGGAAAGCATTCATTACAAAGATCTAGACAGGAGCCAAAAACACTCCATGTCACGGCCCAGATGTACTTCCAAGTGCAGTAAACGCCACAGACTGTAGGATCAGAGAACAGAAAGTGACAATCACAGCATCCATTTTCAACCAGGAGGTACTCAGACCTGCATAAGTAACTTTAATACCTGAGATGAAAGACTTACACACTTTAAATCACATTACCAGATTTTACTTACAAACACCATCAATGTCATCCTTCACAAGGTTTGCATCTGTCAATACCCAGAGGCCACACTCCTAGAAAGAATACATTTTAATTTTCTTTTAAAATAAAAGTTTAAATGTTCTCTAAATTATCATAGTCACCCATACTCCTAACTCACTCTTGTTCACTTGTTTTTGTGCAAAATGTGAAAGTATTTCCCTTTTTCTTTTAACTATTGCTCAGTTTTGACAGTTTAGGCACATACATGAGCATACATTCTCTCATACCCAGACACACACACACACAACACACACACACATTCTCTCTCGCTCACAAGCAGAAACAGCCATTTCGAAGTCAACGAAAGTGATATTCAAAAAAGAAATTATTCATTCAATGACAATTCCATTATTTCTCTAACAGTGAATTTTTCATTTGCTTTTAAAACCAGAAGAGTGATTATCCTTCCACCTCAAATTACACTTACATAACACACTGCACTTCAGCAATATATGTACTAAAGTCTTAACATACCATAACTGAAATCATTAATTTTGAAACTGTTGGCAACAGTAAAATATATTAGTATCTTTTTAAGTGATATAGCAAACTAAACCTACCTGAAAGACTGCAAAAGAATTCATAAACATCCCTAAATAGTATCCTGTGTTATAAAGTTCCAGTTCATGGACCACCTAAGGAGAAGATAAAATACATGGAATGAATGGACTCATACAAACATGTTTTGTCTCTGCAACATTCCTTATACGTAACTTAGATAAGAGACAGCCCACATGCTTATCAAACTTGAAAATGAAACAAATGGAGGAATAATGCCATGTTTATAATTCAATCAGCCACAATTACATTTACTTAAGCTTAATTTTATTCTTTTCAGTAATCCAGAGTTCCTAAGAAGTGTGAGGTTGAGTTTTGCCCAAGGGAAAACTTATATGTCACTATCTGACAAGACCAACATGTAGAGATCAGCATTAAAAATGACTCATATTATGGGAAAAGATAAATGGGTTAAATTTGATGGTTAACAAAAATTCTGACAAATATCAGTTAACTAAGTTCTTTAAAATAACACATACAGAGAATTCACAAAAGAGGAAATGCATATTGTTAATAAGCAGAAAAATTTCTACCTCTGATAATCAAAGTGATGCAAATTACATCAATGAGATAGCTTTTCAATAATGAGATATTTGCATGTGTCACATTAGCAATGCAGTTTTATTCAGTTTTCTTTTTTTAACTGATGTATAGTTGATTTGCAATGTTGTGCTAATTTCTATATACAGCATAGTGACTCATTTTTATATACTTAAATATATTCCTTTTCACGTGCTTTTTCATTACAAGTCATTACGAAGTATTGAATACAGTCCTTGTGCTATGCAGTAGGACCTTGTTGTTCATCTGTTTTATACACAGTAGTTTAGTATCTACAAACCCTGAGCTCCCAAATTAACTCTCCCCACCTCCATTTTCCCCCATAACCAAGTTTGTTTTCTATGTCTGTAAGTCTGTCTCTGTTTTGTAAATAAGTTCATTTGTGCCTTTTTTTTTTAGATTCCACATATAAGTGATATCATATGGTATTTTTCTTTCTCTTTCTGGCTTACTTCACTTAGAATCTCCAGGTCCATCCATGTTGCTGCAAATGGCATTATTTTATTCTTTTTTTATAGTTGAGTAGTATTTCTCTC